CCGTGGGCCGGGCTGTGAGCAGCAGCCCCGGAAGCACCCATGCAGAGGCCATGCCGTGGGCAGCAGCCCCAGAAGCACCCACCCGCGGGCCGGGCCGTGAACAGCAGCCCCAGAAGCACCTACCCGTGGGCCGGGCTGTGAGCAGCGGCCCCAGAAGCACCCATGCAGAGGCCAGGCCGTGGGCAGCAGCCCCAGAAGCACCCACCCGCGGGCCGGGCTGTGAACAGTGGCCCCAGAAGCACCCACCCAGAGGCCGGGCTGTGAGCAGTGGCCCCAGAAGCACCCATCTGCGGGCCGGGCTGTGGGCAGCGGCCCCGGAAGCACCGACCTGCGGGCAGGGAGTGCCTACCTCTTGCGCAGCGTGGACTCGCACACTTTGACCACACTAATGACCTCCTTCACGGTTCTCCGGAAGTCATGCATCCTGGCTGCGACCAGAAGGGCTAGAACGAACCGAGACGGGCCCGTGACACTTGGCCACAGCCGCTATAGCCGCGTGGCGGTCACAGCCCGCCCTGTACACAGAGGTCGTGACCCCGCAGCTCAACCTGACCTCTGCCTGCCACCCACGTGCAGTGAGACCCCACCTGGTGCTGCCCCAGAGCCGGCGGGCCGACCGCACGGCGCCTGCATCTCCTTCACAAGAGGATGCTCAGGGGCCCAGGGGTATGGCGTGGGCCCTGCCTCGCGCCGACGGAGGTGTCATGGAGTAGAGTTGGCAGACTCTGGACCTGTGCATTGCCTTGCATATAATACACCGTAATTAAAGAGCCGTAAAGAGTGTGGCTCCAGATGCACCACCATGGAACCAAGGAGAACTGGAACAGACTTTTGGGAACTTTGTGTGATCCCTGAAAGCACTGGGAGGTAATGTTCAGGTGACCTTGGTGAGTGACACCTATCTGTGACGGGAGCTAAGGGTTCTGAGGACGTGGTCCAGAGTCAGGGAGGAAAGGTGATAGCACCTTGGGGTGGCCTGTGCTTCTGTTTCTCAAAGCACGGCTGGCTCAGGGAGGCTCTCGACCCCGCCATGCCTGCCGCAGACCAGGTCTGAGGCGGACACAGAGTCCAGGGCAGCGTCAACCCTGCCGTCAGCTGCGCGCTGGAGCCCAGGCACCATGGACACAAGTGGAAAGTGTGGGGTGGGATGGCGGAGGGGAGGGGGGGCTCAGGAGAAGGCCTGGCTGACAAGTCTGCCCGACCAGCAGCATGAGGAGAAAGCAGGAAGACCGTGTGCGGGGTCAGGGGCTGAGAGCTGCAGGGCGGTACCCTCCCTCCCATCAGGCTGGGCACCGCGCCCCATGAGCCGGGATAGGCCCCAGGGGCAGACAGAAAACCCAGCGAAGGGGGGTCGCACCGCTAGTCACTTGGGGAACGGCATCCCAGGGCCAGGCAGGGGTGCCCACCGTGCCGCTCAACCCTGTCCTTGTCCTCGGGCCAAGGACACCCAGAGGGGGCAAGCAGAGTCCTGAGGGCAGAGAGACCAGGGGCCATGGGAGGCCAGGCCCTGCAGGTTCTGCCCACTGGCTGGCAGAGCCAAGTCTGCAACCCAATATGAAATGAGGCCAAAACAGCCAGCAGCCGAGGGAGGGGTTGGCTGTGGGTCCAGGAGACAGCGAGGATGGCACCGAGCTGACAGCAGGCTCTGGGGGTGTGTGGCGTCACCGTGCAAACCTCTGCTGTGTGTCCTGGCTGCCCCCCCACCCCTGCTCTGGGACATCACGGTGCCCCTCCCTGCCCCGTGTGGTACCTGCACCACAGAGCCCCGAGGGGCGCCGGCCCGTGTGCATCCAGTCCCTCTTCATACGCTGCAGCAGCCGTAGGGCCGTCATGGACACCTCATGGTTCTTCTCCCCGAACTCCAGCAGGTGGGCGAAGCGCGGGATGTACAGGCAGGGGTCTGCGGCAGACGCTGAGCTCAGTGCACCCGGCCCAGGCGCGCCCCCAAGGCAGGCCGGCGCAACACCCAGCCCCATCTGGGACTCTCTCTTCTGGTCCCCATGCATGGCCTGTGTCTTCCTCTCCCCCTGGCCAGAGCGGCCGCAGACACTGTGCCCAGCAGGCGGGCCCTACAGCGCCCCCACGGCTGGGTGAGCAGGTGGTACAGCACCCTGCCAGTCTCCTCACAGAGGCCTCCCACCACCCTCGGAGCACCGGGGGCGCGTAACACCGCACAGCCTGTGCATGGCTGTCGGGAGGCCTACCACCCTCGGAGCACCGGGGGGCATAACACCGCACGGCCTGTGCATGGCTGTCGGGAGGCCTCCCACCACCCTTGGAGCACTGGGGGGCATAACACCGCACGGCCTGTGCATGGCTGTCGGGAGGCCTCCCACCACCCTTGGAGCACTGGGGGGCATAACACCGCACGGCCTGTGCTTAGCTGTCGGGAGGCCTCCCACCACCCTCGGAGCACCGGGGGGCATAACACTGCATGGCCTGTGCATGGCTGTTGGGGACGTGCTGCCCGTGGCGCCTTCCATGTTCCAGGTTGTTTCCTTGGGAGCACGTGTCCTAGAAGTGAACTACTGGGAAAGAGCACGGATGGGGCGAGGCTCTAGACACACGGACACGGACAAGCCCTCTCGGACCAGCTGGGCGGTTCCTGTCCACGCGTGGCGAAGACAGCCTGCTCAGCACCGGCACCAGAGCTGCATGCTGCTACCATAGGGCACGCACAGACTAGAGCACACATGTGCACACACGCACACACATGCATGCATACCTGTACTCGCACACATACACGCACACACTCACATGCACCAATACCTGCACTCACACATACATGCACACACAGGCACGCATACCTGCACTCACTCACACACACACACACACACGCACACAATGCCTTGGTGACGGATTTTGCATTTCGTGGTTTACCAGTGAGGTTAAACATGTTTTTACATGTTCCCTCTCTATAGTTCCTGTACTGCGATGTGTCAGCTTTTTCCCTCTTGTCTACTGGGATGCATGTGTGTTGTTAAATAAAATTCTAGGGTCCACACACACACACACACACACACACACACACACACACACACACACAC